TTTTAATTAGCATTTTTTATATTTTTAAAATAGTAAAAAGACATAAAAACAAAAAACTAAAGCACTGAGAAGTATTATCAAACGAAACCTTAAACTATTATTGTCATTATCCTTGCTTTGTTCCTTTATTTGATATCAATACCATGTTAAGAAAGCTAAAACATGGGAGTGCGTGTAAAGAGAATGGAGGAAAGGCTTATTGCTCTATTTTTCTGAGTTATAAACCAATTACATAAGAAGCCTTTATATAGGCATTGATGTAAACCCTAAATACAATTTAACCATATTGACTAAATAATATCTAAGATCCATTACCAAAATTAATCCAATCAACCACTTAATGTAGTTTATTCCATAATATATCTTAATAAGCTGAACCTTTGAAAAAGTTTTTAAGTATATCTTTTATATATTACAGCATGCTTATTTTATTACTTTCCATGTTAGTGATTTTCCTTTCTGCAATTCATATGTTTGATAAAATATGAGAATATCTTTAAATTCATTTGTGGTTTCTCTTTCCCCCCAGATTGAAGAGTTTATGGAAAAGGAGAAAGATCTTCAATCAAGCTCCTCCATGAAACAAGCAAATACTACATCCAGCAAGAAGGAGGTGCTTTGTCAACATAGGGAACGGAGGCCTGTTGCCCATGGACTTTGTTGTGAATGTTATGATGATGTGAGTCCTTCCCAAATGCTCTCTCTCCTTTTTCATTCCTCTCTTCAAACTGCTTCTACTAACCATGTTTTCTCCTTTTGATCCATGCCCATAACTGGTTGTGCAGTTCATGAAAGTTTCAGGGGGACTTGAGGGAGGATTTGACCCTCCTGCTTTCCAGCGTGCTGAAAAAGGGAGATTAGCAGAATCATCCACAGAGGAAAATGCTAATGTAAGTAGTGTCATTAAACCTTTCAAGGTCACAATCACAGTCATTGGTTGTCTCTGCAAGCTAATCTTGTACCATGTTTTTTACTTCTGGCTTAGAAGCTTGTCAACTTCTTTTCCTTAGAAGTTTTTTTCTGGGTGCACCTTTTTCTTAAAGATGTTATTTAGAATCTATATTTTGCTACAATAACATACATTGAACACCCATAACTCATTAATTGAGTGATTGTTGATTATGGCTTGCAATCAGAACTGTGCTTGGAGCTATGTTGTAGAATATATTGAACATCACAAATTGTCTCAAAGGATATTAGCAAATTTTTTCTTTTCTGGTTTTCGTGTTTTGAGTTTTGGCCCCATCAACGATGTCTACTATAGGGCCATGATTGTTTGCACATTCTTGTTACAGATGTTGAGAATCTAAACCTTTGCTAGTGACAGAAGCTTATATGAGGCCACCATGGAGACATTAAATATTGCTACTTTTGAAAATGTTTTTTGTTCTTGGATTTCTCATTAGGGGATTCCAACACATTACTTGTTTGTCTCTATTCGGTTTCTGTCATATGTGTCAAAATTGTTGATGGATTTATATATTTTGTTTGATGCTCAGTGATGGATTTATATATTTCATTTCATGCTACTGATTTAAGAATTTGCTTGCGACTGCATAGTCTGCATTATGCTGTTAATACTTTAAGGTTAAACTGCCTGAAATTCTTGTTACAAGATTATAATAAATGCCTTTTTCTTTTTTCTTTTTCTCTTTATGAAATTTTCATTTGCTGTGTTGGTCAGTTTTTGATTACATTTCATCTCTTTAACCATTTTGTCTCCATTACTTAGCATTAACAGTTTCATCTCTTTGGCTTTTTTGTTTGAAAAATTCAAGGAAGTATTGAGAAGCCAATTCTTGAGCAAACATGAAAAAGCTAATGGTTTTGGTAAGGTTCATTTTCCATGAATATGCACATGATTTAATACTGCAACTGTTTTTCCTCTATTCAAATCTCTTTTGGAAAATAATAACTTTCTGGAGCTTTCAGGTGCCACAACTGAGCAAGCAGCCCTTCTTGAGGTTACCAATGATGAATTGCCTGGGATTGATTGTAGTACTAAAGTTCCCGATGAATCAGACAACTTTGATGACATTGACGATCTTGAGGTAAAGAATGAAGTCTCCTTTAGCTATCAAACTACTTAGTCTGGTTGTGTGCATTTTAATTCCTGCTATCTACAGGCTAATGACATTTTCACTTCAATATTTGGCAAATCAAATCTTATTATGTGCTCACAGCTCGCTAGTGTTAAGTTTTGATCTGCTTTTAGCTCTTTTCCTTTCCTTGGGAAACAGCATCTGTTTGTACTCAACAATCTAAGACACTCTCCCAATCAGGTCACCATGAGCTGATAGAATGGCATAAATGATTGTCTGAAAATTACATTTTATTTGCTTAGTGCAAGTAATAGAAATGTATATATCTGCATGACAATGTATATCTATTTGTAATACACTTCCAAAGAAATCTTTTGTTGATATTGTGAAGCATCTATACTTGGTTATCTTTCAGAGGTGACTCTGATTGTTCATTTGATTCAGACTATCCATTAACCTATATGATATGTGCTTGCCACATGTTATGGCATTATGCATACAATGAATTCATTTTTGAGAGCAAAATCTGCGAGCAGTGTTGGATGTGGTTATGCAAAGAGAGTCCTTGGATGAGTGTCCATCGTACTATGTTGTTTGGGGTTATTTGTTACACACATACATATTTATCTGCATTGTTTCTGATATTTTTGGTATTTCTAGGATCTAGGAGTAGTAATTTTATTTCTTAGTTTATTTAGGTTTTCGTTCAGTTTCCTGTTTTATTTGTAAGATCATGCATTCATAATTCAACTAGGAATTAATTTTGTATATCTATTACATTTTGGAATTGCTGAGTGCACATCATGGTGAGAATTGTCATGTCCCTTGAACAATAACCAATTTATCATATAATCCATGTGCTTCTTTTTTCTATTCTGTTCTGTCATTATTTTTCTCAACACTTGAAATTGTACCTATATGTAGGTTGATGGGTATCTTCACAATGAGAAGGAGAAGCATTACAAAAAGATAATTTGGGAAGAAATGAATAGAGAGTATCTTGAGGTGATGTCAACTTTGCTTTATTCAATTAAGCATCTGACTAAATGTACTTTTCTAGACACTAATCTCACAATGTAAATCTAATGTCCACTATATGAGTGTGTGCCTTAAATTTCTATGTGTTTTGTAGGAAGGTTTGGCAGTTCATTTTTAGAATAAAAATGTTCCTAATTGATTGATTTTATTCAAAATGTAATTCTTTATAATCTGAACACTATTGGATGGTTTTGCTCTGTGCTGTTACACGTTAAACTTCATGGGTTTATATTGGTTTTAGGAGAATTACAAAATTCTTGTTAGTTTAGTGTTAAATGTACCCTCAATTTTGACAGAAATGACTACTTAACCCTTAAAAAGGCAATGCCAGGGAAATTGTATAAATTTTTAGGTGAAGCAAACATAATTTCCTTGGAGAATTACATTGAAATTCCCAATTTGTAAGAACTTCTCTTTAAAGGGGAGGGAATCTATATTAGTTTAACTAGAAGAGGAAGTTGATTTGAATATGCAATTAGTTTTCTGTGCAGGATTATTAATTTTCCTATTCTATTTGGAACTTTACTTTCTTTAATATATTTTCCTATCTCTATTAGTTTATTTTAGGATTTCTTTTATTTTAAGTGATTATGATATTTTAGAAATCCTATTTTAATTAGGTTAATCTTTTCATGTTTTATCTAGGTCTTCATTTTAATTCGATTACTCTCCTATTTTGGTTACTAGGATTTTATCATTGAACCACTATATAAAGACTTGTAATGGCAATAACTATTCACAAGTTTTTCATTAATAATATTCAAAATTTTTCAGAGAATTTTCTCTAGTGTTCTGTTGGGTTTCCAGAGTTCTTGTGGATTCCAGATTTGTTTTGCTCTGCAATCAGTATATGGTTTATTTCAAACTAAACATTGAAGAAGTGTTTAATCCCTAACTATTAATTCACAAAATCTAGATATTTTTAGGCAGGGAAAACTCAGTTTCATCTAACTTTAATTTCTCACTTCTCTTAACATTGTTAATGAAGCATTAATAGATCTGCTCTTGGACCTAATTATACTGCTACTTTGACAGGAACAAGCAGCCAAGGAGGCAGCTGCAGCAGCAGCAGCAGCCAATGAAGCATATATGACCAACAACAATAGTTGTCCAGAGGAATTGCAAAGAAAGGATCTTGCTGCAGCTGTTGCAGCTGCAGTGGTGAAATCTAAAAAGGTGATTTTCGGTGTTATCAGAAATGTATGAGAAGTTTCAAAATTTATGAAGTTTGGAAACCAGAACATCTCTCCTACAGTATAAAACACAATCCAGTTCACCACATTCAATGAACTGGTCTAATATTTCCTTCATAAAATCTTAAATTTTATGTATCATGTGTCAAGCAGATCAAGTGTACATAAACTCATTGAAAAAATACGGGGTTCAAGTGATGATGAAAAATGTTGTAATGGAGTTTAGGCAGGGCATATATTATTTAGTTTTCAAGAAATTAGCCTTCTGTTTCCTAATCCAATCCAAACCCTCAAAGCAAA